AAAATTAAAGTATGGACCTAATCAGTGTGGTTCTGTCAGGCATGGTCCTGCAAAATGGAAGATTGCCATTTTGATTCCCAGTCAGGGCACATGCTTGGTCCTGGTCAAGGCACAGACAAAAGACAACCAATTGATGTTTTACTCTCCCATTGATGTTTCTCTCTTTCTTCCTCCCTTTTCCTCTTTCTAAAATATAAATAAGTAAATAACATAATAAAGAAGAGGCAGCTACTGGCCATCACATATTTGCAGTCTCTCTGTGAAGTATGACATATCACAATTATGCTCCCATTCCAATCTATAGCTTCAGATGTGTGTGTGTCGGGGGGTGTTTATGTGTGTTTGTGTGTATGTTTGTATGTGTGCATGTTGTCAGTGAAAACACTATAAAGAATATTTAAATTCAGGAAAGAGGTTTGAAAATATAATAAAGGATAGCTGCCAAAATATTGAAGTGGTAAGCCAAAAGGAAGTATCAACTAGAAACTTTTTTTGTATTTATAAACTCTTTGTTTTTCTAGATATTGGGTGTCAGAACTTCTGTTTCTTTGAGGTGCATCCGTATGACAGTTTTGATGTAGAATAGTTAGGGACTATCTTGGAAAGTAGAAGTCAGAGAGAAAAATTAAACCAGGGCTTAATTTTTTTAAAGATTTTATTTACCTATTTTTAGAGAAGGGAGGGAGAAAGAGAAAGAGAGAACTATTGACGTGCAATAGATAGGTCAATAGGTTGCCTCTGACACCCCCCCAACCGGGAACCCCGCCCACAACCCAGACATTTTCCCTGATCAAGAATCAAACCAGCAACCTATTGGTTCACAGGCCTGCATGTACTCAGTCCACTGAGCCAGACCAGCCAGGGTGAGTTTTTAACATAATAAGGTGTAAGACATTGTGGTGGAAGGAACAGTGTTCCCCATGAGTGGTAAACATGCTGATGTTTGTTCATAAGGTACATTGTCAAATATTTTTTTATTTCCAATAGTTTAATGAACACACAATTATGTTCATTTTAATATGTATTGTATTATATTATGATTTATGTATATTATTTAACCATACAAACCATGATGTCATGTATATTGTTTAGGATAGTAGTGATAATAAGTCTCCTTAAAATTATTCAAGTAAAGGAAGTCAGACAGATGGAAAAATATTCAGTAAAAATATATGAATGACACACACAAATATGGCAAAGTTATGAAGTTTGAGGAATACTACATTAAAGATCTGGATACATGCTTTTAAACTAAACACTTGCTATCTGTTATTGTCTTATGGCTGAAAACATCAAGGCAGTAGAATTGCATATGTTGTATGTTTTTAAGTGCATGAGACAAATCTATCCTGAGCATCATCCTGTTGCTGTGCTACATCAACCATTCTGTTGTAGATTGTGGGGAGAAGCTGTGTTTGTTTATGACTCCCAAGTAATGTCTGTTCTGCACAGTCGTTGCAAAGTAGAAACGTGAAGAAGTCAATGCTATACAATTGAACTGGGTCTTGTGGCGGGAATGGCTTCACCGTGCCTGTAGTGAACTAGTTTCCCATTCTTTGTGCTGTCATCAAGTAACCTAATGGTAGTTCTTTTTGCTGAGCTAAATGCAACATCTCACACCAGAATTATTGGCTTGGCAAAGTTGCAAATTTTATTACGCAAAAGTTGAGAAAGAACAAAGCTGGAGTGCTAAAAATGGCACAGTTTGCTACTATGTAATATCTGTATTTGGGGCATTTTATTTATAGATATCTATTAATACATAGCAAGGGATACAGAAAGAAACATAAAAATGCTTTTATCAAATAGTTTCTAGTATTCAAGTGTAACAACAAAAGAGGAGCAATAACAGCAAACTGTTCTGTTGGGGGGAAAAGCCATCTTCTTTTCCTCTTCTCTCCCTTCCCTTTCCTCTCTGAGGTGGACTCCAGCTACAAAGAGCTGTTTCCTTCCTAGATCTTGGAGGAGTGGGGCGGGGCGGGGGGCGGTTGGAGGGAGGTGGGATCTGCGTGTTTATTCCTTTGGCCAGCAATTTTAACCTCCTCTCCTACCTTTCTCACTAGCAACGCTTTAAGTGAAGGAGAGGTGGGAACATCTAGCTTGTAAAACTGGTTGGTTGGGGTTCTTTCTCCCTTCCTCTCTTGCTTCTTGGGAAACTTACTTGCTGGGCAGCTGCCTGACAGTACCATAGCTGCCTTCTCTGGGCTCGAAAGGGGCTTCCCCTTCCTTCTACAGTAGGAAAAAAGGGGATCCAGTGGGGTGGAGACCGGAGATGGACAGAGAAGGCAGATACCACCACTCCACCATGATACACAAAGCAAGAGAAGTGGACACACACACACACACTTGCATGCATGTTGGAAACTCAGGGTTCATAGAGATGGGCCAAGATCGTCCTAGGACAAATGGGACCCTCTGCTAGAGTAAGTGCACAGGTCGAAACCCTGTGCACTTACTTTAGCAGAGCCCTAGAAGGCCCAGGGTGAGGGGTTAGGGGATCTCACTGGCACCCACTTTCTGTTTTTATAATTAAAATACTTTCACAGGATGTCACAGGGTGACACAGATAGGAGATGAGAGGAGGGAGGGCTGTGGGAAGGCGTGTGGGTAGTGTCATTTTGCTTCACTTCTCCACCTGACTGTTGGGTGCTGCTGGCACCTGCAAGGTCAGCCTTACCAAGGTGGGGGTGGCTGTGGAGAGATGGGCTTCTCTGCTGGAGGGTAGCCCAGGCTGGACCCAGGGGGACTGGGAAGGGTGAGGACGGTCACTTCCGGGGAGGGGCTTAGGACAGGTTGGTCCTGACTGGGACCAGTGTTTTGTCAAAGTTGCCAGGAAGTTAAAGAAAGGGTGCGCGCGTGTGTGTGTGTGTGTGTGGGGGGGGGGGGGGGGTTCCCCTGCCAAGGCACATTTCCCATGCCAATTTTCCCTTCATGGGGGAAGTTTGGATCCTATGATTGAGACATCAGCTCTCTTCTGCTGTCCCTGTGGTCTGCTGGGGAGACAGGTTGGGACACACTTGCCAGGGTTGGCAGGCGCAGAGCTGGCTTCCTGCTTGATGCCACTTAGTCTTAGGGGCAGCTGCGCCCTCCCATGCTCCCAGGGCGGGGCTGGGCTGAGGTAAGCACTGAGAGGAAGCAGAGGACCCAGGCAGAGGTCCCTGGGGGTTGGGTAGAGGCCTTTCAGGGTGTGGGTGTGGGAGAGAGGGTTCCTGCCTTTCCCCCATCTCCAGCTCTCGCTTCAGTGGCTCTTTTAGGGGACAGATCTTAGTCAGATCTTAGTATGGCACTGATACTGCTACTGTTACTGCCTCCCCAACTGTGGGGACTTCCAGGGACATTCAGGGGACCCAGGTGTGCTTACGTCCACAAATTTGGTGTTGGGGTGAAATCTGTCCTTTTGATTCAAGAGGTGAGGGGCAAGCAGAGAGAAGGAGGAAGAATCGGTTCATGGGTTCCCCTTCAGTATTGGAAATGGGTTCATGTTTGAATCCTCCCCTGTTCTCTTCCCCCTCCCCCCATAGGTGAGTAAATTGGAGTAAAACATGACGAGAAAGTGGAGGATGCATCTATTTGATGGCCTCCCTAAGTGCTAGCTAGATGTAGACTCATCCTTTTCCTGTGCTAAGATGCTCTAAATTTATCCCACTGGCCTTAGGTAGCACACTGGGAGAAATCTGGAGGAGGATGGAAATTCTGGATGCTTCAGTTTTGTCACTTGAAAAATGAAGTTAATTGAACATACCAATGTCTCACACTTATGTTTTGATGTGTACATTACAGCATGTTATCACCTCTTCAATAACTGCCCTGTGGATACCTCAGGGGTGTATTTCAAGGTTAAATAAGACATTGCTTTAAAAATGTAAACACATTATTAAATGGGAGGCATTATCTGATCCTCTTATTCAGCACGGCATTTCCTCCTTCCCAACACCACCCTCATTGCACATTCACTGAATCCTGTACAAGAACACCACTTTGCCCTAAATGAAGAAGAAAAAGAACACAAAAACAAAAACAGAAAAGATATCCCTATGTAGGAAGTAAATGGCATATTCTGAGGGGCATCCTCCCTTCTCATCTGAGGCTCCATTGCCAGCCCTTCATCAGCTCCCACCTCAAGTGGCGTTTTCTTATGCCATTTGGAAGCAAAGGCTTTTATTTTTTTGTTCTCACAAAACATTAGCCCCTGTAGCTCTTCGTCTCCCCCTGGCGTCCCTCTCCTGCTATTTCTTTAGATTGGTGCTACTGAAAGTGGGGCGTGCGAGGGAGAGGAAGAAGGGTAGGCACAGAAAAAACATTGTGGGGGCTTCTAATCAATACTACTCAAAGTATTGAGTATGTGTCTGAAAGGGCTCTAATGAAAAAAAAAAACAAGTTTATTCTTTGCCATGATCTTTTTCACCGTGGACTTACAGAACTTCAGCAAAAAAGACTTAGGGGAGAGGCTTGAATTAAGAGGGAAAAAATACGATGATCTTTAAAATAATTTGACCCCCAGGAAGGGGGGAGTGATGAGGGAGAGCGTGCCCTTGTTTGATCAACACTAAGAGATCGGAGAGACATAAAAGGAAAATGAAGTGAACAACAATTAAAAAAATTCCCCGCACACAATACAATCTATTTAAACTGTAGCTCATACTTTTCATACCAATGGTATGACTTTTCTGGAGTCCGTCTTTGGATTCTTGAACTCCGGGGCTGGCAACTTGCAAAGGGGAAGCAGACTCCAGCGCTGCACGGGCAGGTTTACCAAAGGTCTCCAATGGGTATTTTCTTTTCCTTAGCCCTGCCCCTGAATTGTCAGACGGCGGGCGTCTGCCTCTGAAGTCAGCAGTGATTTCCTTTAGAGCCTGGCCTTATCTCCAGCTGCACGTTGCCTGTTGGTGACTAATAACACAATAACATTGTCTGGGGCTGGAATAAAGTTGGAGCTGTTTACCCCCACTCTATAGGGGTTCAATATAAAAAGCCGGCGGAGAGCTGTCCAGGTCAGACGCGCTTCTGCATCCGCGCTGGCTGGGGCGAGCGCAGCGAGGGTCCCTGGTCTCCGCAGCGCCCCGCGGACCTCCAGCCGCGCGCCCGCAGACCGCTCCTGCTGCCTGCTCTCCCGGCAGAAGCTGCTTTTTCTCCCCATTAAAGGGCACTTAGGCTGACGGATCACGTTGAGATCAGAATAACCAGAAGCGCTTTAAGGGAACCGAAGCTGTTATTCTTCGTTTTTCCTTCGGGTTTAGTTCGCAGGGGAGGAATTTTGATCCCTTTTTTCAGAATGGATTGTTTTCCCGTGATTTTGTCTCTGCTGTTTGTGGCTTTCCAAGGAGCTCCAGAGACAGGTAGGCACGTTCGCTTGTAAATCTCTGAATGTTAATGTCTTCTTATACACTTTAATGCTTTTCTTGCTTCTATTCTTTCCCTTTTTGTTTCTGCAGCTCAGATATTAAGTCTCTGGGAATTATTACCCAAAGCTAAAGTTTCCTAGTGGGAAAAAATTTCCACTATTGAATACAACTGCTCCTGTAGCATTTAAAAAAAATTATTGTTAGTGTTATTACTGCATAGTGTATGTCCTTGGTTTTTAACAATATAACTCAAGAAAGGTAAAGACAAGATAGAATTTAGCCAAATGTATATTTGCAATATATGTGTTCATACAGGTCATAGGATGCATAGGAGCATATATCTTGTATGATTACTGTTTTAATAGTGTGTTAATGTGTAAAATATTTACACATTTCAGCTTGAAGCCAAGGAATTTTATTCAAGTCTTTCAAGCAATATTTGAGCAGTAAAATCACCTGCAGAACAGTCTGTTGAATAACCCCCCCAGGCGGTTTCAGGGCAAAGCAGATGTTTTCTTTAAAATTTGTCATTATTGACTTTAGGTTTCTTTTGGCAGATTTTTGGCACCCAAGACAGTGTGAGCTCTATTTTCAGTTTTATTCACCTGTCCTGGGAGGGGAACTGGGATAAATTGGCTGCTTAAGGATTCAGATAGGACGTGTGCATCTACCCAGTTCCCTCTTGTGGGGTCAATGCACTTCTTTTGTCTTTTCATGACCCCGACTAAAGAGAAAGGATGTCAAGGGAATGAAAACCCTGGAATGTGTCTGATCATCTGAAATGTACAAAACCGGGCAGATAAGCTGCATGGTTAACTGGTCAGGAAGAAGAGCCAGTGCCGTGGCGGGAGGGGGAGGCGGCTATCCCACACACGCCAGGCCGCGCTGGGGGTTCTGAATGCGATGTCCCCAGGACCTTGACAGGGTCCCCTGAGCTGCCGCTCAGTTTCACCTTAGGTCAGTGGTTTCTGTGGAGCTGACCTCCTGGAATGGATATTGAGGACTTGATTTCTCTTCTTTCCTTCCAATCATCTCCCCAGAGCTCTTGACCTCCACCTCATTTCAAGGAGTATAAATCCTCTGGGCCACTCCCTGCCCTATGTTCGCACTTGGTGTGAAGTGCTGGGTACCCTCCCAAACAGAAAGTCCTTCTGCATGAGAAGGGGCTCCAAACCTAGGAGGGGGCAATGCAATTTATTTAGTCCTAGATTTTTGGTTATCAGTCAATTTTAAGCCACAGATTTCTAGCAGGCAGCCTTTCCACCCATTTCCTTCAAAGGGGCTGGGAAATCCTTTTCCAGGTCGTTGAACTGCACTTGTATAACCTCTCTGAAGGTCGATAAGGCAGTGGGGGTAAACATGAAGTCATGTTAAGGAGGGAAAACATGAAGATCTCTTTTCCTCCATGTTTCTTGCTGAAGGCAGGCTGTAGCTTCATCTGTGACTTAGCGTGGCTCTGCCCTCCTAAGAGACATCCCCACTGACCTGCTCTTTCCCTCCACAGCTGTCTTGGGTGCTGAGCTCAGCACAGGGGTGGACAGTGGAGGAGAGAAGCCCTCTCCCAGTGCAGCCCGCCGCTCCAAGCGCTGTTCCTGCTCTTCCTTGATGGATAAAGAGTGTGTCTACTTCTGCCACCTCGACATCATTTGGGTCAACACTCCTGGGTGAGTCTCTAGAGGGCATTGTAACTCTAGTCATTCCTCAGCTCTGGGTTCACCAGACGTGGGAGCCCAGTAACTCTAGCTACTTTTCCGGGAAGCTGCTGGTTTGGATTCTGAAGGTAGCACTTCTGACAACATGGAAGTACCTTACTGGGTAGGGACAGTGCCTCTCCATTTCTGAAAAGAACAAGACAGCTTGGTTCTTAGCAACAGCGGGAGGGTCTTCTGAGGACTGTGGCTCAGACTCATCACAGCAAGACAGATGGAAAAAGCCATGGCAAGCAGGAGGCTGACACAGTTTATGAGGAGAAATTTTAAGTGTGGAGTCTTGGGGGAATGTTCTCTCAGTAGGAGCTGCATGAGGAGCTGAGGATTGGGAGCTGGGGAATTAGTTGCTGAGGTCATACTGCTTCTCATGGGACGTTAGAGATTTAGGAGACAGAAGAGATTATAAAGATTTATAATCCAGTCCCTTCACCTTACTTATAGAAGAGCTGAGACACAGAATGTTGAAGTCACTCATGCAAGGATGAGTTTGGGCAATGCTGACTTACAGCCTGGGTGTCCTGACTCTGTACTTTCCCATTAGAAAAGGCCGTTTCAAGACAGTAATAGAAACAAGGTCCACAGATTTCCCTTCTCCCTCCAGAATGAAGAGGGCACTTCCCCCACCCTCTCACCCTGAAAACGAGTTCACCCATCCCAAGCAGTCATAAACAAAACCACATTTGTTGTGCCTGCAGGGTCCCAGTATAGTGAGGATGACCAAAATCCAAACAAAATCAAATCAAACTAAACAAAATCCACCACAAGCCTTAAACTTAGTAGGGTGATTCTTCCAAGAGGAAGACTTTATTTCTTAAGTGAAAAATCAAAACAAATATTAGAAATCACTGGAGAGCATTCTATCAAGGACTCCTTCTATAGTCATATCACCAAATTGCAGGAGATGTGCCAACCTGGGCATAGTGTGTCTCCTCTCGCCCCCTCAGGAGGCACTTGGAGCATTATCATATGACTTGAATTGAAAATAGGTTTTCCAGATTTTGTGAGTCATGGTTTTGCATGGTTTTGAAGTCCCTATCCCCCTCCCCATATCTGTGAACTAAATAGAATATTAGAAAAGGAAGAAAATATGAAACAGATACCAAAGCAGAGATGTCATAATTTTGGACAAAAAGCAATGTTGCTTGTGTCCAGAAGAAATTAAAACTGGTTAAGGATTGAAATGGAATTTAATTGAATTAGAAAAACTGGTTTCTCCTGGTCGGGTATACGCAGTCAGGGCCATTGACAGACACGTGATCCTGACTGGCCACTCTTCACTCTCCTAAGTTTTGCTACAAAATACCATGCGGTGAGCTCCACGTGTCCCAATGAAATGAGTTTACCCCATAGAATGCATCATTCTGAAGACTATTAATTATGCTAATATCTTTTGTTCCTTTCTTTTGATAATAGGCACATTGTTCCGTATGGACTTGGAAGCCCTTCGAGGTCCAAGCGATCCTTAAAGAATTCATTTCCTACAAAAGCAACAGACCAGAGGAACAGATGCCAATGTGCTAGCCAAAAAGACAAGAAGTGCCGGAATTTTTGCCAAACAGGAAGAGAACTCAGGTGAATAGGAATACCTTTGCTTTCAAGTAGTTTTATGGTCTTCTAACCTTCTTCCTATTATAATGCTGCAAATAAGAGGCATTACTTACAGAATAAAAATAAAAAAGCCATGAGAATATAGTGTACAAGACAGAAAAAAATCAATAATATCATAATAACTTTGCACAGTTACAGATGAGTACTAGAGTTATTGCGGTGATCACTTCTTAAAGTACATAAATATCGAATCACTATGTTGTACACCTGAACCTAATCTAATATTGCATGCCAACTATACTTTAATAATATTTTTAAGAAAAAATGATATTAACAGAGACATCGAGAGCAACTGAAGGTACCACTGCTAAAATGTTTTTCCTTATGTGTATTTTAACAGGGACCAAGACACTATGGAGAAAGACTGGAATAATCATAAGAAAGAAAAAGATTGTTCCAAGCTTGGAAAGAAGTGTATTCATCAGCAGCTGGTAGAAGGAAGAAAAATAAGAAGGTAAGAGATTCTTAGTAACAACTAGCCCCCACCACCAATGCCAATGGACTGGTCTCCCAGTCATTCTTACCTTGATGGGAGAAAGGTTTAGAAGACAATAACAAAGGGGATCTTTATGTTCTATAGATGAAAAAGAGCAACGGAATCCCCCTCAAATATTCTTTTGAAGCCTTTGAAGCAGACTGCTGCACATTTTGGTGATCGTTAGCACACACACCTTAGTCTGAAGGTTGATTTTCCTAAACAAAGTACATCTCAAAACATTTTTGCCATTAGATCAATCCAGCCTTTGCTTCACTGAGTCAGTATATTTACTGCTTTCCCTGAGAACCTAAAAGTCATTTCAGGGAGATCTCTTGTTTCTTTTTTAAAATCAAGATGTCATGTATGATCAAGTTCTTCAAAAAGTAGCAGTTATTCAAATGGCCAAAGGGAGAATAAAGTCATTAGGTAAGGTTGGTGAGAGTTAGAACATGCTGCTTTTTGGGTTTATTTATTTATTTTCAATAGGGAAATACATTTGGTGAGACCCAGTGCTATTCCAAGAAGCTCTCTCATTCTTGTCATTCATGGGCTGGGGCAGAGAATTAGGCAATACCACAGGCTTGCTTTGAGCAGCTCCACAGAGATGACCCTTTCAAATCCTAAACACGCTGAAATTCACAACCTGGAGGGAGGAGACCTGCTTTCAGACCTGTCACATGTTCTACATTTCCCTCTCAGGGTCCATAGAAACTTTTCTTAGAAATCTAGTGGCAAGAAGTTCTGTGATCCGAGTGTTCAGTTCAGTGTACAGGCGTGGCTGTCATGAACCACATCTGATCGTTTTCTACCTAAGTGTGGGACAACCTCAGCTCACTATGACTTCACACTTGCCAGCACAGTTTTCATAGTCCTGATCCTGGGTCATGGATGCTTCCTCAGATCCCAGGATTTCCTAAACCACAGTTTCTGTGCTGACCTGGACTTTAAAAAAAAATTTTTAATTTCTTTTATATCAACTATTAATGTTACAGCTCTTCCCTCTTTCTTTCTCCTTCAAAAACAACAATGACAACAACAACAACAAAGTTTGCTTTGATTGCCATAGAACATTTGCTTTGGGCGTGTGTGTATACCTTTTTCTTTCTTTCCTGCTAAGGGAGGTGGTGGGTGGAATGGGGCTGCAAAAAAACAAAACAAAACAAAACAAAAAACCAAAAAACATTTGTAGTTTACCTTAAAATTGTACTTTCAAATTGCATTTAATGCCCAATTTCCTTTAGGCATGACCATATCACTCTTCCTCTCTACCACCCCCCTCCACCCTGCCATTTTTAGACATAAAGGGCAGACTTTATTTTCACTTGAGGTTAGCAAAGAGTAGCATGCTGTTGCAGTTGGTTGTGAAAGTTCAGGAACCAGACCTAAATTTCTTTGTGCCAGATTCTAATTTTAGATGTTTCTTTTGCCCAGGAATGATTAAAAAAAAAATAATAACATTTGTTTTCCCTTGTCTTGTTTTAATAGGTTGGAAACCATCAGCAACAGCATCAAAACATCTTTCCATATTGCAAAGCTGAAAGCCAAGCTCTATAGAGAGAAGGAAGTGACCCACAACCGAACGCACTGATTACAGATAGTCCCATCTCAAGCCGTCTCCTCCACAGAGAGAGCCGTGCTGTGTGGCTGCCTCGGCACTCTCACCACACTGGCCTGGATCAGAGCAAAAGCATCCTTCCTGCTTAGACCATTTCTTGTTCCAGACTGGCGAAGGACCAGTGTCCTCCTTCTAAACATTCCAAGAACAGTTCAGGAGTCCCCCAACTCGTCTTCATTTGCTTCCATCAGTGGTAACTCCTTCTGTCTCTCCTCCTTTGGGGTGACAGTGGACCACTCAGAGAAAGCAGAGAGACACAATGACTTCCAAATGCTGGTGGCAGTCTCCACCTGGAGGAAAGGAGATGCCACGTGGGTGGGGTTCCTGAAGGGGGTCTGAAGGGAGTGTTTGTGTCTCACTCAGGCGCCTGGCACATTTCAGGGAGAAACTGCAAAGTCCAGGAAGAGATTTTCTAAGGAATGCACAAATTGAAAACATACTCGAGTTGGAAAAAAAAAAAAGACTTTGTTTTTTTAATTCACAAAATGCAAAACTGAAACTGTTACTACTGTAAATCAGGATGTTTCATAAGTATGACTCTACCTCACCTGTATTGCACTCTGGCAGAAGCATTCCCCGACCTTTAATTATTGCCTCCCAAACTCCTCGCCCTCCTGCTACCCTCTCCCCCGAACCTCCACACTAAACCCTAGCCTCACAGAAGTCTGGTCTAATGTTTCATGGTAATCTACTAGCTCTGATCCATAAGAAAAAAGATCATTGAATTAGGAGATTCCCCTACCTTGATTTTTGGAAACACAGTAGCATGGGTTGGTTTATGGAAGGCATTGAAGAGTAAATGTTGGTTATACTTTAAAGCAGTAAAATTATTTTCCCTTACATAACTGGCAAATGGAAGAGTTTGGATTAAATTTTGATGTACTTATTTTTTTATAGATATTTATATTCAAACAATTTATTCCTTATATTTACCATGTTAAATGTATGTCTGGGCAGGCCATATTGGTCTATGTATTTTTTAAAAATGTATTTCTGAATGAAATTGAGAAAATGCTTTTTTTGCCTGTCAAGGTAATGACTTTAGAAAATAAATGTTTTTTTTCCCTGCTGTACTGGTTTTGATTTCTGAAATTCCTAAGAAGTGGGCCAACGTGGTAGCAGTTGTGAAGGGGAAGGATAAAGATGGTTTCTTAAAAAGATGACAATTAGAAGAAAAGTAGTCTTCGCTATTTTTAAAAAAGAGCTCGAGCTATATCTTAAAAGTTGCCTTTGGATTGCATTAGTGTAAAAACAAAACAAAACCCAGCTTTAACTCCTCTGTCTTTCCCACATAGCAGCCTTCTGTTTCCCCTTCACCTGAAAACTCTCCAGGGCCTTCATTCATTAGCTTTGCTTCGGCTATTAGACAGGATCCAACAGTTTAAGCTGATGGCGTGGTGAGAGGTGCTTTCTCCTTTAATGGACTGAAGGAAGCAATGGCAAGGCGACCTCCCAAAATGCGTCCAATTATACATAGTTTCACACCGGAGTTGCTTTGAGAAAATGGCCTGTTCCGAGCCAGTCAGGGGCTGCCAGTGACTTTTTATTTGCTCAGATTAAGAATCTGTTGATTCAGGAACACTGCGTACCTTCGCTTCTTCCTGATAGCCCAGGACTGGCCACATGTCCCTGGAGGTAGAGCTACCAAATGCTGATTCCAGGTTTCCTGCAGCACAGCACCCCCTTTCTCCCCGCCTCTGCCTTGGCTGGCCTTGCGAACCATTGCAGGGAGTAATACTGCAAATAATTGTTACCAACAGAAGCCCATAAGAGCTTGATCAGCTTATGAGAATCTTCGTCACCCTTCTCCAATAGTGTGTGAAAGAATGTCTGGTATTCAACAAATATTAGCTCACAGTGATCACTGTTGTCCAAACAATGATGCATCTGAAGGATGGTGAATAACAGCCTTCAGGTGTGCTTCATCAGTGTCCCGGGCAGAGTTTCTATCTTTATTGGCATTCTGTTTCATCTTTCTTTCTTTCTTTCTTTCTTTCTTTTTTTTTTTTTTTAAAGGACAGTCTAGTGTTTTGGGTGGAACTGCTTATAAAGCTTGCTTTATATAGCAAACTGTTTCTCAGTGCATAGTTCTCAAGGAAACTGAAAATTTGTGCATATTGACAAGGGACTTGGCCTGAATTTAGCCACTATTTAATCTTCAGCAACCATTCAATCCCCCTGCATTCTGAGTTTCCTCATCGGTTAAAGGGGATGGGGGATGGGGTGTGGGGATTTCTCAAACAGCTTCAAGAAAAGCTGAGATCAAAAGGAGTTGTGTTGGCACAGAAGAGTTAAGGTCTGAGCTTAGAGGACATTGGTCTAATACATTTAAGAGGAAGTTGGGATGGGAAGAAACCACTGAGTAAAGAATAACACAACAAGCAAAGGTGATAAAATTTTCTTCCTCTATTCTCCCCCTCTTCCCCCACAAAAATTTTGGACTTTTAAATCCTCTCCCCACCATGCTTCCTGCTTGAGTAAAGGGCAAGAAAAATAAAAAGCATGAAGCCACTCTCCACGGGTGTGAGTGGCAGTAGTAAAATAAATTGGAAGGTTCATAGAAAATAAATATTTTCAAGTATGTAGAGGCAAGATTCAGTATTTCAAGGCCCATACCGGCTTGAGTTGTGAACTGAATTGGGGTAGTCTATCATACTTCCTGCAATTTTTTCAGTAAAGGCTAGTTTTTGGAAGCCCACTTAGGACAGATTTCTCTCTTCACATTAATAGCCAGGCAGAGCTTTGATCTCAGGACTACAAGAACTAGAGAATCCTGGGTGGAGAGTAGTGACAGTTTGGTGGAATGAAAGGGGCCCACTAATGGATATGTCATTTTTCACCCCAGGCAATGTCTTCTTTTGTGATGGAAATGATTGGCTTTAATTCTGCCTGAGCTTCCTGAAATACTCAGGGTATTACATACTAAGTAGAGTTCTCAGCAATCAGGGTATTATATTAAGCTAGAGCTCCCTTAGTAAGACCATGGGTAACATTAACAAAGAGCAACATACTGTCTTTCCAGGTAAAAAAGCAAAGGCCCAAAGAGGAAAGTGAACTACCTAAGATCACACAGCAAGCCATACCATCTCTGGAACCTGAATCCTTGAACACGGATGTTTCCCCCAGAGGCACCTGGAGGTCAGTGGAGACAAATATCCAAGTAAAGCTTAATGGAGGGTTTTGGGTGGTAAAGGAAAAAAAATCCCTCTTTTTAAAAGCTTTGACTTCCAACCTCCCAGATTATGGTTGCCAGATGCATCCTCACAGGATGAAAGCGAAGAAATGTAGGGTAAGCAAAAAGGGATGTAAGGAGGTTTTCAAATAGCATGGCATCATGAAGTGAATTCCTACAGGATAAAACAGAATATAGGTAGAAATTTTTAATTACTATTATGTTTTAGGGCTTCATTACCAAATAATCCTTAAATAACATGAGTGAAGGGGAATTCTCTTGGTCAGTTTGCTGATTCTAGTGCAAGGCAGTGTTTTTGAATTCTGTCTCAAGTCTTGAAAATGCTTATTTTCAAGCCCATGTTCTCCATGGAGTTCCTCCTGCCTTGGCTTTCTCTCACCTCTGCACTCACAGTTCCTGGGGTCCTGGGTACAGGACTCAAGCTGTACTACTGCAAGTGAATGCTGCTGTTCTCATAACCTTATGATCTAACAGTGATGCCTTGTCATTGTACAGAATTGAATTTCCCATAGCCTTTTCACAACCCTTCTCCTAGTCGACCCCCTCCTCCAACAATCTTTTGGGGATGTAGAGGCCATATTTTTATACCCATTTGACAGCCAAGGAAACAGACCTACCGAATGGGTAAGTGAATTGTCCAGACTCTGCCATCAGACAAGTAGCAATACTGAAACTCAAGACCCCTGACCCTTTCTCCTTAAATTTCCTTAGAGCAGAGAGGATAGCACTAGCCCTGAAGGTAAATTATCCTGCTAGAACCCAGGAGGGCAATTAATTTAATGATGTTGAAAATCTTAAACACAACAACAAAAGCAAATGGAACAGAACTCTTATTTTCAAGTGTCCTTGATTACATTGAAATTTTGGGACATGCCTTTAAAAATAAAAGAGAAGCAATTCTAACACATTTTGACTAAATTTAGAAAAATTAACCAAATTTGTATTTAATAAGATGGGATAATTCCACTGAAAGTTTCTTTACTTAACCAAGTATAAAATTATTTTGTAGTTCAAATGTTCTGGCCATTTCCTATTTGCCACGTGGTCCCAAATATACTTTCAACATGTCAAGAATTCTCACTTGAAATACAGGTAGAAATTGCTCAACGACCTGTCAGCTTAAACATCTTCTTCAGGAATTTGCTAAGATGCCAATCACTCTGCTATAAACATTGCTCGCTGGTTTGTTCTCTCATACCTGGTTTATTTTGCTCTGCTCAATAGCCATAGGTGGTGTCGCTCCATTCGGTGAAAGACAAAATACACAGGACAATTACGGAGATGATTTTTATTCAGGATATTACAATAAAGAAAATGATCACTACTGAAGCATATTTCAAGCAAAAGAAGGGGGTCTGGGATTTTACAGAGGCAAGGAGACAAGAAGTTGCCTATGAGTCTTATGGGAGTCGTGAAGAAAAGTGGAGATGGTCTTTTCTGGGTTTTTGAGAAAGAATGGAGGGGATTCTGTGAGAGCACAGTGGTCTTTTGGGGTTAGCCATTTCTTAGAACACAAAAGCGGGGAGGGAACTTCTTGACCCTTTCTTCTGGGGAATGCAGGGCTCAGATCAAGTTCGACATTGTCAGTCCCACCTTTGTGTTCAAGATGAATATCATTCGTCATTGAACAACTCAGCTGTGATTTTAAATATTATGAATGGGGTGAATCAGGGTTCCAGAAATAGTTTCTAAAGGAATCTATCTTCTGGGAAACCAGTTGAAAGGAAATGATGGTAAAGGTTAGTGGTTTTATGGTCCTGGAGATCAGACCGCCTAGAAAAGGATGCCTAAAATGAACAAGAGAAACGTTGATAGAAAAGGTTACATTAACGAGCCAGAAAAGATTGGAAATTTGATAAGGATTGACAATTTGGGAAGGTACTAGGAGCCAGTCCAATTTACAGATAACTACCCAAACTGATTTTTCCATAGTTGGGGAGCAAGTCGATTAAATAACCACCAGACAAGATAGAGTTTGCATATTCATCAGCTTATCCACAATTTAAAAACATACCTAAAATAGCTCAAAGGCAACGAACAGGGCTAGAATCTGATAACCTGGAAGGACATGTTATATGATGTATAGGTAGATGTCTATCAAAACACAAAATGTCTCTTTATATTCACCCTGCTTTTGATCAAAAATAATCTCAAAGAAAGATTATTCTTGACTCTAAAATAAGGCTGTTTTAATTAAATTTCACACAGTTATTTAGATAGTTATCATGAGAATTGTAGCTATCCATATAGTTACCATTTTAAATTTGCTTTCTGGAAATTTTCATAAGAAATTTCAGATTGAATGTTTTAAAAAGTTTCTTGAGGCTAGGGAGCCAAGCTGAGAACTATCAGATTTCAGTGTACTAGTTATAAATTTGGGAACATTCTTCTCTTCTTGAGGTCTCCTGAATATCTTGAGATTCATGGACCTATCAAGAAGTCACCTTTCTTATTCACTGGTAAGGCTGGGAATCTGTAAACCAGGTATTGGGCCTATTTGCCCACAAGAGCCTTGTAAGCATTGGCTCTATAAAGCCACACTTCAGTCCTTAAAAATTTCTGGACATATTTAATTAAATGAGCATCATTCTCATATATGACATCCCAGGGAAAGCCTTGGTTGCATGACCCATATGTCACAGTAACAAGAAGGACAGATT